TTTTTTGTCCACATGTTTTTTTATTTTTTTAATATATAAATTACTCCATGACATTGATGATTAAAACATCAAAATATGATTTAAAATGTTTTATTTGAAAATATTTGAAACAATTTTATATTAAGTCATGTGTTTTAATATTTCAGTTATTCTAATTAAAATTTAAATTATTATTTGACAATTTCGATTGTTTATATTACAAGTAGTAAATGTATTTGGAATAAGACATAACTAGTGTGTAGCCCCGTGCGATGCGCGGGTTATTATATTAAATAATAATTATAAATAGGTCTCAAGTTCGAGTGGTGGAGAATCATTATCCAATTTTAAAAGAGCAAACAAAAAATAATAAATTAAAGATGTGGAGTTAACATGTGATATAATTTACCGTCGTATATCAATGTAATAATTATAAATAGGTCTCGAGTTCAAGTGGTGAGGTTAACATATGATATAATTGACCGTCGTATATCAGTTTATTATCAACAATATAAAATTAACTTGTATAAGAGAACATAGAGTTTGCATGTTTAAAATACTAAAAACATGTAAAAGTATGTAAAAGTTCATGTATTATTATTAAAAGATGTGAAGTCACCTACATTTTTTTTAAACTATTTTGGAAAGAAAACATGTTTAAAAATATTTAAATTTTATATTTTATGAAAGATGTTTTTTCTAAACTCTGTTGTAAAGAAAACATGTTTAAAAATATTTAAATTTAATATGTATATATATACGTGTATATGTATATATAGATATAATATGACATGATAAAATATTATATAAAAGTATCTACAATATCATAAGTCTAAATAAAAACATTATAAATTTTTGAGAGAAAATTTACCACATATATATTAAATAAATAATGAAATTATACCGAGAATTATGACGGTATTTCTTATTATTTTTTATACGTTGTTACCGTTAAAAAAAATTGTACGCATAACAATTCCACGATTTATGCAGATTTATTAATTTCACAAATACAGATCAAGATTAATAAAAATGTAACAAATAAAATAGAATTATATATATAGGTGATATTAATACAAAAATTGAAGACAATATTAAAATCTGCATTATTTCTATTATATATATATATATATATATATATATATATATAAGCGGTTGAAAGATTAAATTGTTATAACTTTTTTTTTTTTTTAAATCTATCGTGATTTCATATTGTTTGGAAGATTCAACTTACTTAAAATCATAGTTGACAATATTATTTTTCAAATTTTTTGTAAGATAGAAATTAGAATGTATCCCGTTGGACGATATTGTTGCGTTTTGAACAGTAAGTCAATAAGAATTCCCATTTTAACTCTTTGTCATAAATTTCGCAACAACAATTAAAGAGCTATAATTAAGGAAACCAAGTTGCAACCGATTTTGAAGCTATAATTACGGAACCAACAATTAAAGAGCCATTTTTTTTTTGCTTATTCACAATTACCCAAAAATTACTATATATAGGATATAATTAATGATTTG